TCCTTTGGCAAAGGTTTAGTCAACAAATCCGTTAAATTATTGTACGTTCTCACAAATACAATAGTCACAATGCCATCTTGTAACATTTATCAAATATACTCATGTCTTAAACTTGTATGTCTAGATTTATCTTTATACATTTTTTTTTAGGTTCTAGACATAGTGGCTTCGCTATCATAATATAAAGAAATCAAAGGCTAGGTTGTGGTCACAATTTAATAGCAAATAATAAATCCCTAAGCCACTCCGCCACTTTACATGTAACAACCAAAGTTATAAATTCAGCTTCCATTGTGGAATAAGCAATCATGCTTTGTTTATTAGAAGCCCATGAGACCTCACCACCACCCAAAGTAAATACCCACCCGGTTGTGGAATTCTTCTCACTCACACTAAAAAGCCAACTAGTATTTGAGTAACCTTCAAGAACCAATGCAAAATCTGTTATAAAAGATTTCCAAATCTTTAATTCTTTTAAAATAACCAAAAACTCTTTCAATGGACTTCCAGTCCAAAATTTTTAGTATATCTAGCAAACCTACAAACTGCATATGAGATATCTGGTATTGTGTAATTCATTGCACATATCATGCTTCCAATTGAACTAGCATATTTAATTTGAACAATCGGATTATTCAACTAGAATCCAAGGTTGTTAGACAATAATGAGTCCATGTCATTATTTACTGCTTTCTTCCAAAATGCAGCAACTCTTGATGACATAGTTTCACTAAACATCTTTGAATCATCCTCCATATTCAATAATATTGGTATCTTCTATTATGTCAATAATATTGAGATTCCTTACTGCCTTCAACCAAAAAGATAAAAGCTTGCGAAGATATGACATTAAATAGTAGATGATTTTCTCTTCTAAGCCTTTGACTTCTCCTAGGTTAAGCAGGACCGTCAATTTACTTCCTCTTATCACTTGAAAAAGAACCAACACTTTGACGAAATTCTAAACCACTAGTACGATCTTTTATATGCACTGAACCTTTAAGAAATTTATTCTCAAAGAATTGCACATCTCTTGACTCAATAGTAGTATTAGAATCAAGATCAAACAGCCTATGAGTTTTGGAATTTTCTACATAGCCTATGAATACACTTTTAAGTGCCCTAGGTCTCAATTTTGTTCTATTATTATCCAAGACCTTGTAATAGGCAATGCAACCTTAAACTCTAGGATGACTTAGGTTTGGTTTTCTCCCTATCCATGTCTCATATGGAGGGGTTTTTGTTTTCGAAGAAGGAATTCTATTGTGTTCATGACATGTAACCAACAAAGGTTCGCCCCACAAATTCTTTGGCAATCTAGAATTTACTAACATAGAATTGACTATAACTTCCAATGTTCTATTTTTCCTTTCAACCGAACCATTTTTTGTAGAGTATATGGTGCATCTGTTTGGTGTATAATTCCAATTTGTTCACAAAACATTGGGAATTCACAAGGAAAATTTTCACCTCCCTTATCACTTCTCAATACTTTGATTTTCTTGTCTAATTGGTTTTCAACAAGTAACTTATAAGACTTGAACATGGTAAAATATTCATCTTTACCTTTTATAGATAAACATGTACAAATCTTGAACAATCATCAATACAGGTAATAAAATACCTAGTACCATCTCTTGTTAACAAACCATTTAGTTCACACATATCAGAATGTACAACTTCAAGCAGGTTGGTATTTCGTTCAATTTTAGGAAATGGTAACCTAGTCATCTTTGCTTGAACACAAATTTTACATTTCTTTTCTTCATTTCCAGCACAATCAATTAGTCCATGTTTAGAAATCAAATATAACATCCTACTATTCACATGTCCTAAACTATCATGCCATATAGAATAGCAAGACTCAACAAACTAAGCAACAATAGACATTTTATTAATACTCATTCTGAACATACCTCCACAAGAGTAACTTTGTCCTAACAACTCTAAAACCATTCTTATTTAGCCTATCAGCATTTAGCCTATCTGCTGACACAAGATTTTTCTATATGTGTGGAACATGTAATATATTTGTGAACACTAGCTTTTTGCCGGAAGTGAATTATGAGTCCACTATCTCCTTGCCATGCACCATTGCAGTATCATGATTACCCATAATCAACACACTTCCATTAGGAACATCTTCATAAGCTGTAAATTTGGTCTTGTCATTACATACATGCATCGTTGCACCATAGTCGTACCGCCAATCAGTTGAATTGAATAAAGAAAAAGCCACATTCAATTCAGAGATCATTGACACCTTCCACTCGGACACCATTGTAACAACTTCTGCAATTTCTTTATTCTCAAAATGGTTAGCTTGGGCATTATTTGTCTTTTGCTTCTTATTAGAAGTGCACTCCTTCTTATAATGCTCCTTCTTGCCATAGTGGTAACATGTCCGATTCTTTTTCTTGTCCTTAGAACTTATATTGTTTTGTCTAGAAGATTTTCTCTTCTTAGACCCTCACTATTGCTAATTTTCTTCATCTACTAAGTTCACTTTAGGATCAGATTCAACCTCCTTTCTTTGAAGAATTCTAGCATCTTCTTCTATATGAAGATGCTTAAGATTTTGATCCATAGTGAAGGCTTCGATTGTACGAAGTAATTTTTTTTGGCAACCATTCCAACTAGAGGCTAAATTTGCAATTATAGCCCCACTTTTAATGATTCAGAAATTTCAACACCAAAATCTTTAGGTTTTGAAACCTAAACTTGAAAATCATGAACTTGGTCCAACAAAGAGGATTATCATTAATGAAGAAATCAAAATATTTCTTAACAAAGAATTTTTCCGCACCTTGTTCCTACGTACTTGTTCTCCAATGCTATCCATATTTCTCTTGGCAACTTGATCTGAATTGTATACATCATAGACACGATTCGAAAGAGTATCCAGAATATGGCCATGATAAATCACTTCATCATCTTCCCTCTTGCGACGTTGCTGCTTGATTTCCTTAGAGTCATCCTTATTGATCAGAGGTATTGGAGGTAGAGAAGGATCAAGAATATATGCCACTTTAAAGGCAGTGAGGAAGAACATCATCTTGTTCTTCCAACAGTTGAAATTTGTGCCCATGCCATCAAGCCTATTAAGTTTATCAACCCTTTGATTTTTGGTCTTCAAAGCATTTTCAGTAGTAGTCTCCATCGTTGTCAATGAACAATTAAAACCTTTAGTTGTTGAAGTGTGTAGTGTAAAATAAAGAACAAGGAACACTAAAAGTGTAGAAAACTCTAAACAAAGAATCACAACAAAAATGGGAGAATCGGCAACTTTTGAGGTATGATTAAACACTATCCTTAAGGTTTTAATTACCCCACTACATTTAGTATTTGCTAAAAGGTTAAGCCAATTTACCACTAAAATACAACAAAAAGGAAAAGAAACTTGTTAGCAAATGACAAGTTACTTCTAATAAGAAAAGATCAAATGACAAAAGTTAATTTAATTCTTTAGAAATTTGTTAATTTATAGGAAAAAGATGTTTACTACTTATATCTGACGCTCAAAACCAATATCCCTCCAAAACATAATTATTGGCATCAAAACAATCACCATTCGAAGCGAAAAGGTGCCAAATAAATGTTTGAACGTTATTTAAAATCTGGCCCCAGATTGTGGGCTAGATTCAAGGCTGAATTTTGGGCAAAATATTTGAAATTTTCTGGACCGAATCCGTGCAAGAATATGGCCATGAATCTATGATCGGACTCCAGACCTGCTCGCAGATCCACTTGGATCTGTTTGCAGATTCTTTGCCCAGAAACTCAACAAGTCCTTTTTGTTCTACTTCACTTAACAAACTAATTCTACAAAAGGCAATTGCAGCTCTTCTGCATCCAGTTTTGTTCTATTTCATTTAACAATCTAATTCTGCAAAAAGCAGTTGCAGCTCTTCTGCATCCAGTTTCATATTAGTTCAACATGGAAGAAGAGAGGAAATCCTGCAATAATTTCCTCTGGAGTAATTTCATCTTGAAGGAGTAAATTTAAATATAACTAAACTTATATGTATAACATAAAATATTTTTAAGTTTTTGTGAGGGTAAAATTTTAAATTTATGAAAAGTGTTCTGAAAATTTATAATTTTACAAGGGATGAAAACTGTTGAAAATTTTATTTATATTATTGTTAAATTTGTTTTTCAAATGGAGTCAATCATTTAGTGGCCTAGAGTTTAGGAATTTGCTACACGTTAAAGTCTTTCTGTTTTGATTTAGTCAGCAAATTTAGTGGCTTATTGGTCTAGTCTTTAGGAGAAGTTGGGTTATGGAGAAGGTGCTAGATATGGGACCTAATCTTTAGGAATTTCAGTTGTGCATTTTACCTATTTAAAGGCTCCAAAGGTTCTAAGTAAAATACAACTTTGGCCACAGTACTAATGTTATCTTTTCTGCAAATCTCTTATCAGTGGCATCAGAGCTACAAGACTCCTAAGACCCCAGAGTGAAACACTTGAAATTATCTACTCTTTCCCTACTACCCTATCCAAATGGCCAATGATTCAAATTTTGTGCAAGCCGCCATCCCTCACTTTGATGGTCACTATGACCACTGGAGCATGCTCATGGAAAATTTTGACGGTCCAAAGAATATTGGTTAGTAGTTGAATCCAGAATTCTAGAGCCACCAGCAGGTGCAGCCGTGACAGATGTGCAGAAAACAGACGTTGAAGCTAGAAAGCTCAAAGACTTGAAAGCAAAGAACTATATCTTCCAGGCTATTGATCGTCCCATATTGGAGACTATTCTTTGCAAAGATACATCCAAGGATATTTGGGATTCAATGAAGAAAAAATATCAAGGCTCTTCTAGAGTGAAGCGTGCACAGCTTCAAGCCTTGAGGAGGGATTTTGAAGTTTTGTAGATGAAGGATGGGGAATCTGTCACAAGTTTTGTTGGAAGGACAATGGAAATTGAAAATAAAATGAGATGCTATGGAGAAGAGATTAAAGATGTTAACATAGTAGAAAAAATTCTGCGTTCTATGACGAGAGAATTTAACTATGTTGTTTGCTCAATTGAAGAGTCAAACGACATAGATGACCTCTCTCTTGATGAATTGCAGAGCTCTTTGTTAGTCCATGAACAGAAGATGAACCGAAGCTCAACAGCAAAGGACCAAGCTTTAAAAGCTTCTACCAATACTCATTCCAACAGCTCAAGAGGAAGAGGCAGAGGTCGAGGAAGAGGAAGGGGAGATCGAGATCATGACAAATCTAAGGTAGAGTGCTTTAGATGTCACAATTATGGTCATTATGCTTCTGAATGTTTCACTAAGCTGCCAAATTATAAAGAAAGAGAAGAGAACTCAAATTTTGTGGAAGAAACAAATGAACCAAAAACTTTGTTGGTGATTGTCCATGAAAGGAAAAAGATTGAGTCTAATATTTGGTATGTCGATACAGGCTGCAGCAATCACATGAACGGAAGCAAGTCTTCTTTTTCGAATCTAAATGAAAGTTTTCACTCTACTGTCCATTTTGGTGATTTCTCTACTGTGAAAGTGATGGGAAAAGGTGATATTAAGATACATACTAAGAATGGTCTTATGAAAACAATTTCTAATGTGTTGTATGTTCCTGACTTGAAAAGTAATTTGTTAAGTGCTGGTCAGTTGCAAGAAAAGAGGTATGTCATTACAATTAAGAAAGGCGCTTGTGAAATTAATGATCTTGATAGAATAAGTCCTATTGCGACTGTCCAAATGAGTTCTAACAGGTTATTTCCAATGAAGATTGAAAGCATTCAATCTTGTTTGATGGCTGAAGTAAAGGTCCCCTCATGGTTGTGGGATTTTCATTATGGCCACTTAAATTTTGGTGGATTGAGGGCTCTGCAATAGAAAACCATGGTGACAGGGCTTCTGGAAATTACTGCTCCCTCCCTTGTTCGTGAAGAATGTGTTGTCAGCAAACATCATCATTCTTAGTTTCCCAAAGGAAAGTCTTGGAGAGCAAAGGATGTGTTAGAGCTGGTGCATTCAGATATTTGTGGCCCAATAAACCCATCTTCTAATAGAGGTAAAAGATACTTAATTACCTTCATTGATGACTTTTCAAAGAAAACCTGGGGTCCGTTTGGATTAGCTGTTTTTTGGGTTGTTTTTCAAAAACAATACTGTAGCATTTCATTTTTGAAATACAAGTCCGTTTGGATTAGTTGTTTTTGGGGTTGTTTTTCAAAAACTATATGAAAAACTTTTACTGTAAATGTTTTTTGGATTATTTTTAGAGGTATTTTTAAAACATAATTTTGAGTATTTTATAATTTATAATTTATATATTTTTATATTTATATACAATAATGCATTTATAATACATTTATAAATATTTATAAATAAATATATTTATATATTTATATAAAAATATATCAATATATTATAAATGTATTACATTATACATAATACATAATATAAATATATTTATAAATGTATAAATGTATATTATTATAAATGTATAAATTATAAATGTATAAATGTATATTATATAAATGTAAAAATTATAAATTTTATATTTTTATCTAAATATATATTTATGCATTTATAATACATTTATAAATATTTATAAATAAATATATTTATATAGTTATATAAAAAAATATAAATGTATTATATTATATATAATACATAATATAAATATATTTAGAAATGTATAAGTGTATATTATTATAAATATATAAATTATAAATGAATATATCATAAATATATATTAAAATTATGTATAAATGTATTAATATAATTAATATCAATATATAAATGTATTAATATCATGTATAAATGTAAAATTAATATTATGTATATTAATGTAAATGTATTATATTATATATAATACATAATATAAATGTATATTATAAATATACATAAATATATATATTATGTATAAATGTACATTTAATATTATGTATATTAATATAAATGTATAAATGTATTATATTATATATAATACATAATATAAATGTATATTATAAATATACATAAATATACATATTATGTATAAATGTACATTTATATAAATGTATAATCTATATAATATATTATATAATTTTATAATATATTTTTTATATAAATATATATTAAATAAATAAATTATATATAATATGAATAAATATATATATATACATATATTATGTATATATTTATAAATATTTAATATATATAATATACATTAATATTAATTATAAATATTTGAATATTAATAAATATGGTGTTTATATAATATTTCAATTTGTAATATTTATTGTATATTTCATTATATAAATATTTATATAATATATAAATATATAATATAAAATTTTGCAATTTGTATAATATACATAATATTGTATATATATAATATAATATACATAATATACATTATTACATTATTACATATTATGTATATTATGAATTATACATAACATTATTATACATTATTATACACAATAATGTACATAATAATGAAAGTACATTAATAATGTATATATTATAATATAATGTACATAATATATTATGTATAAATATTTATACATTTATGTATACAATATTACATATTATGTATATTATATTATGTATAATATTAATGTATATAAATATTTATATAATATATAATATATAACATATAAATATATAATTTTCAATTTGTATATTTTAATTTATATTAATATAATATATATAATATAAATAATTGAAATATACATATTAAATTTGTATATTTGGTGTTGTTTTTGATATAATGTTTGGATATGGGTGTTTTTGAAATTGTTTTTGAAATACACATTTACTTACTGTAGCATTTGGAATGTGAAAAACAGTTTTTCAAAAACAGGTGCAAAAACAAGGAATCCAAACGAACCCGGTTTATTTTTTACAGGAAAAATCAGAAGCTCTTACTACGTTTAAAAGCTTCAAAGCTCTTGTGGAAAATGAAGTAGGCAAAACTATTAAGTCTCTTCGAACAGATCGGGGTAGTGAGTATTGCTCAAAAGAATTTGAAGGTTTTTGCATGCAACATGGCATTCGAAGAGAACTTACAACGTGCATATACACCACAACAAAATGGTGTATCGAAGCGGAAGAACAGAACAATTCTTAATATGGTGAGAATTCTATTAACAAGAGGAAGAGTTCCAAAGACCTTTTGGCCGGAAGCTGTAAACTGGAGTATTCATGTTTTAAACAGAAGTCCAACTTTTGCTGTTCAAAACAAGACTTCTGAATAGGCTTGGAGTGGAAGAAGACTAGTTGTAGATCACTTTAGAATCTTTGGCTGCCTTACCCATGCCCGTATCTCGGATGCAAAAAGGAAAAACTTGATGACAAAGCTGAGAAATGCATCTTTCTTGGTGTAAGTGAATCGTCCAAAGCCTAGAAATTATTCAACCCACTGAAGAAGAAGATTGTGATCAGCAGGGATGTTGTTTTTGAAGAAGAGAGCACCTGGGATTGGGATTGGCAGCAGCCTAAACAAGTCTTTTATGATGATGATGCTAAACGGGAGCAAGTTCCAGCACTTGTCATGCCACCAAAATTCTTCAGATATAACTCAAACAGCCCTTGGAATTTCACAACCAATTGCTGAAGTAAATGAAGAAGGAGCCTGGTCAGTTGGTCGAGTTAGAAGAAGGCCTGCTTGGATGGAAGATTATGAGGTAACTAGGTTAAGTAATCCAATTACTCATTTTGCTTTGTTCGCAGATTGTGATCCTACAACTTTTGAGAGTGTCATCAAAGAAGAAAAATGGCAAAAGGCAATGGATGATGAAATCAATTCAATTGAGAAGAATGACACATAGGAGCTGTGTGATCTTCCTAAGAGGCACAAAACCATTGGTGTAAAATGGGTCTCCAAAACAAAGCTAAACCAAAAAAATGGTGTCGACAAGTACAAAGCATGCCTGGTGGCAAAAGGATACAAGCAGCAGTATGGGGTTGATTATACAAAAGTATTTTCTCCAGTTGCAAGACATGACACGATCAAATTGGTGGTTGCATTAGCAGCGCAAAATTCTTGGCCTATCTTTTAGCCAGATGTCAAATCAACATTCTTGCATGGGTATTTGGAGGAGCAGGTATTTTATTGAGCAACCCCCTGGCTATATTAAAGTTGGAAATGAGAATAAAGTTTTTAGACTGAAAAAGGCCCTTAATGGATTAAAGCAAGCTCCGAGGGCTTGGTATAGTCGAATTGAGACTTATTTTCTTAAGGTTGGCTTTATAAAATGTCCTTATGAGCATACAATGTTTGTTAAGATTGAAGATGGGGGGAAACTTCTCATAGTCTGCTTGTATGTTGATGACCTTATATTTATTGGAAATTGTGATACCATGTTTGGTGAATTCAAGAAGTCCGTGATGAATGAATTTGAAATGTCTGATCTTGGTTGGATGCATTATTTTCTTGGCATAGAAGTAATGCAATCAGATGATGGAATTTTTCTCTCTCAAAAGAAATATGTGGGAGAAATTTTGAACAGATTTCAGATGAAGGATTGTAATTCTGTAAGTACTCCATCGGAATGTGGCGTGAAGCTACATAAAGATCATAATGGGAAGAAGGTTGATAGCACACTTTACAAGCAAATTGTAGGTAGTTTAATATATCTTACTGCAACAAGACCAGATGTAATGTATTCTGTGAGTTTAATCAGCAGATATATGGAAAATCCCACGGAGTTGCATTTGTTAGCCACCAAGAGAATCCTTCGTTATTTGCAAGGAACTCGAAACCTAGGGATATATTACAAGAAGGGTGAAAAATCTAACTTGGTGGGTTATACTGACAGCGATTATGCAGGAGATCAAGATGATGGAAGGAGCACTTCTGGCTATGTTTTTATGCTTGGAATAGGTGCAATCTGCTGGTCGTCAAAGAAGCAACCAATTGTCACTTTATCCAGTACAGAAGCTGAATTTGTTGCAGCTACGGCTTGTGCTTGCCAAGCCATATGGATGAGAAGAATACTTGAGGAGTTGCGGTTCAAACAATATGGAGCTACTATAATACTATGTGATAACAGCTCTACAATCAAGTTGTCAAAGAATCCAGTAGTACACGGAAGAAGCAAGCACATTGATGTGAAGCTTTTTTTTTTTTTTTTTGGAGATCTTTGCAAAGATGGAACTGTTGATTTGATGCATTGCAAGAGTGATGATCAAGTTGCTGATATATTCACCAATGTGCTCAAAAGGGAATCATTTGTGAAGCTCAGAGGATTACTAGGTCTCTGCAACCTAGGTTCAGTCAAGGTTGTAAACTGATGTTAGTAAACATCAATTTAACAGAGTGATTGTTGAAAATTTTATTTATGTTATTGTTAAATTTGTTTTTCAAATGGAGTCAATCATTTAGTGGCCTAGAGTTTAGGAATTTCCTGCACGTTGGAGTCTTTCAGTTTTGATTTAGTCAGCAGATTTAGTAGCTTATTGGTCTAGTCTTTAGGAGTAGTTGGGTTATGGAGAAGGTGCTAGATATGGGACCTAATCTTTAGGGATTTCAGTTGTGCATTTTGCCTATTTAAAGGCTCCAAAGGTTCCGAGTAAAATACAACTTTGGCCACAGTACTACTGTTATCTTTTCTGCAAATCTCCTATCAAAAACTAAATTTTTTAAAACTTCTGTCCCCTGTTTACTTCCTAAGTGATAATGCATACATACATATATACATACATACATACATACATACATACATATATATGTGTGTGTGTATATATACATATATGTACATACATACATACATACATACCTACATATATGCACACACACATATATATACGTATTTTTGGAACATAGCAATACAATGTTTTTGGCAAGAAAACAACAAAATCTCAAAGCGTTAGATTTAAAAAAAGGGAAAATGATCGGTTTCATCCTTCACATTTTACAAAAATATTCTTTTCGTCCCTCACTTTTAAAACGAAGCAATTTCGTCCTTGACATTTAAAAACTGAAGTTCTTACATCCCTAAACCCAAATTTCAATTTAAATCAAACCACCAATCAACCTGATTACAAATTTTGGGGGTGTAATTGGTAGATTACTTGATTAACTCAACTTGATATTCATGTAAAATTTAATGAACCCAAAAAGAAAAATAAAAAATTATAACATAAAAAAGAAAGATTAATTTTTCCTACATTATCATTATATACACTGACGGTTTTATGTACCGCCATATCATTTCAATTTAAATTTAAACACAAAAATTTATATTTATGATACACATCTAGATTCGCAAGCGGATATACTAACGGTGCATGAAAAGATTTACCCAAAAAAAAACTCTACTATTCCAAGACAAAGAATGGTCTTTTATGTTATAATTTTTATTTTTTTGGTTTAATAAATGTCATGTGAATATAATGAAATTGACCGAGTGATCTATCAATTCTATTTTCGAAATTTATTATTGGGTTATTGAATGGTTTGATTCAGATTGAAAATTAGGTTCATGGATGTAATAGTTTTAATTTTTAAATGCCAGGGACGAATTTGCTTCATTATAAAAGTGATGGATGAAAAAAAATATTTTTGCGAAATGTGAGAGATGAAACAGGTCATTTTTCCTTAAAAAAATGTACAAAAAGGCTCGAAAGGGTGTGGCTAGTGGCTAAAATTGAAATTTGAAGAATTAATGATTTTGGATTCAAATTCCCTTACTCGTCCTTATTTTTTAAGTTTCGCCCTGCTCTCCTGGAAAAAAAAATTAAAAGAACAAAAAAAAAAAGGCCCGAAAGGGTGTGGAATTCCTATCCTGGTCCTGATTTCCTCCCAGTCCCGGGCAGGAGTTGGAAAGAAAAATGTCTCGTTGGTTTATTGCTACGAGAAAAAAGAAATCTTAAAATTTGGCTATCTAAAACAATCACAAAAAAAAAAAAGGGTTTTCCACTTCTTATGCAATTGCACTCCACCTATGCTTCTGCAATTAGCCACGCCGCTTCGTTCTATCTTCCTAAAGCTATCTTCCTATCTACTTATAGATTTGTAGTATGTTGCCTTCATGAATTTTTATTTCTTTTTTCCTTTCATTTTATACATCAAAATAAAATTTTAAAAATATATTATTTATTAGTTGCACACACATCGGATATGCCATAACCACTGGTACCGCATCAAAAGCAAGCTGAAAGGAAATCTAATTGCTCATTATAATTTTCCACATTATTTCCTAAATATATTTAGCTAACATCTTTTATTTATCCAACTATCAATTGATCTCACAAATATTACATCGGCAAAAGTGTTAATGCGGACAGTAAAAAGAATTTTGAGAATAATCTTCAAATTGGAGATAATTATATTAAAACAAAAATAATGGATTAGAAATGTTAGCGGTTTGGTTAATACCCAAATCGAGCTGAGACTCAGTGCCCCTGGGTCTGCAAATTCAAACCCAAACCTAACTCTATAAATTTAATACAGGCCTTGATGAGCCTCATTTTGTATGATCTAAGCCCAATATCCAGATTTAGACCCAAACACCACATAGGCGAATACATAAACATGTATATAGAATACAACTACCCCTCACTTTCACTATTAAAATTAAGGGATAATTTCTGAAACCTCCCCGAGGTTTTTATAATTTCACTAGCCTCCCTTAAAGTTTATAAAATTATACAAACCTCCCCTAAAGTTAAGGTTTTGATAACAAAATTAGTCCAATTAGAAAAAGTAACATTAAAAAGGTACTTTAAGGAAATAGATGACACTTTGATTCCATAAATATCCCTTATACATGTATATAAATTGTATTAGTAAAAGAATAAAAATAATTAAGAGTTAGAAATAATTAATACATACATTTTATCACTCAACAAGTTTATATTTAATAAATTAGACAACACAAATAAGTAACAAAATTACACTAATGATCACAAGATTCAACAAAACAGACTAATTATCTCTTTTGACATGATATTTGCTATAATTCTTGTAATTTTAAACAGAAAATATTTTTGAATTTTTCCTTTCTTTTCCATCCATTCTCCTTTACTAATATCTAATGATTAAGTAATTAGAACACTAATTAACTATTAGTAACTAATTATTGAAAATTTCTTTAATGATGAAAAAACGATTGGTATTTACAAAATAACATCAATTGATATACCTAATGGAAGAAGAAGGGAAAAGCAAGGTAAATTTTGAAAATTTTTCTGTTCAAAATTACAAAAATCATAAAAAACATCATATTATAAGAGATGACTAGTCTGTTTTGCCAAATCTTGTAATCATTAGTGTAGTTTTGTTGCTTATTTATGTTATTTAATTTATTAAATGTGAACTTTTTGAGTAGTGAAATGTGTGTATTAATTGTTTCTAACTTTTAATTATTTTTATTCTTTTACTAATACAACTTATATACATGCATAAGGGGTATTTATGGAATCAAAGTATCATCTCTCTCCTTAAAGTACTTTTTTAATGTTATTTTTTCTTATTTTGTGTAAATAAATTTTACATTCCGTAGGATTCAAAATTGCACAAAATGATTGCTTTACAGGAACATAATAAAAAATAAAGTTGCAAAGACATGCAAGATTGGATCCTAGATATCGATAACATTTTTGAAATAAATAGAATTTGTTGATTTGACTTAATACTTCCTGCTTTTAATTTTTACATGCAACATTCTTAAGTTTTTTCTTGTTAATTCTTTTTAGTAGGGGAGGGATTTAAGAGGCGGAGAGAGGGAAGGGAGATTTGAGCTTAGGAATTCTAATTGCTGGAATGTCAATCTCAACCATTAGACTAAGGCCTCCTCAGTCACAACATTTTTAAGATTGATTTTCTTATCCAAAAATGATAATGGGATCAAACTGCATCAGCTTTGAATTGTCTTTTGTATTGATTTTTAACATATTCTCACATAATTTCAAAATTATACTTTTTAACTACAATTATAGAAATCAATCTTGATGCCCATTGAATAGTTGGATTCATAGGGTCTATTCTAGATCTTCTTTTGCAAATCCATTGGAGTATAGGTTTGGGTTTAGACCTGAAAAAATTTATTGGGTTTCGTTTTGGATTTAAATCAAAAACTTATCCCATGCCATGCTTAATGAAATATTCAAGTCTTAAAGATAATTGAGAAGTTTAATTGCAAATTGCCCCCTATAATTTTGGATGAGTAGCAAATTGTCCTTTATAATCAGCAAACACACACATTGCAAATAAAAGGTCGAACACATGGGTTTGATTTTGCGTATATGAGATGTGTGAAGAGGACTATCAAACCCTCATATACTTAATGCTTTGACAGTTTTATTATCAGGAAATGAAATTATTAAGTTTTTCTATTAAAAGAGCATTCCAATTGCAAGAAACTGCTTATAAAATAGCAGATGCAAAGAATTTGAGATATTACGTACATTATTTTTACTAAGTAAAATTTTAGTTTCTTATGATAAATCATCATATATGAATATTTTTCATACAAAAATACTATTACATATTTAAGTATCAAAAGAAATCATTAATAAGGACAAAGAAGAAAAATGAAAGTTGAATATTTTTTATAAATATTTAATTTCATATTTCATGATAAGGATTTATTCTTAAAAATAAAAATACCTTTTACCAAAAAAAAATAGTTCAAGGGCTGGATCCCATATTGATATTGCTGATTGTTGACACATAAGAAACTTTAAAGATGCTGCTTATTTATAGATTTGAGTACTTGTTTTCTAAAAAAAATTGAATACATTGTATCTAAATTAGTTATGTATTGAGTATGTTGTTTATCTGAAAAATATATAGTATAGTTGGCTAGATGAAATTATGAGTGCAAATTTGTCCTCTAATTTTTATAGTTAAAAGTTTGAATTAAGAGACAAATAGCCTTTCTCCACAGGGGCCAATTCCTATGCTTTGTTTTTTAATAGGAGGCAGTTTAATACTCATCTAGCATTACAAGGGGGTCATTTGCAATTAAACCTAATTGAAAAGGAGAGATTTAAAGGACTGGTAAATTTACTTCAAACAATTGTATTGTACGACACAAATAAAGGAAAAAAATGAAAACGCCAAACCCAATTCTTGGGAATTCGACATAAAAGGAGAAGTTCTCGCTTGGGAATTTGACACGAAAATATAATTAATGTGCCCTTTCTTTAGACCTTTTTAATTGCGTTTAAGGGACCAATGTGACAATTCTTAATTTTTTATTAGGTTATTAATGTTTTCATTTCATTCCATTTGATCCCACAATGTTTGGGGTTTTTAAACTCTTCCATTACCCTTCTTTTTGCGTCTA